CGCCGCGTCTCTCCGCAGCTCACCATGGCTACCCTCAAGGACAAGCTGATGAGCATCGTGGCCCCGGGACCCACCGTCCCCAACAACAAGATCACGATCGTGGGGGTGGGACAGGTCGGCATGGCCTGCGCTATCAGCGTCCTTGGAAAGGTAGGGCTGAAGGGACGGCGCGGCGGGTTCCCGTTCACAGCCGGTGTGACCTCCAGCCTCCATGCCCTCATTCAGCTTCTCCGAGCTCTCTCACCTTCCCCCTCCGGTTAGCCATCCATCCCTCGTTAGGCCTCTGCCAGGCTTTTCTTTCCCTTTTTGAATGTCGTTATCCTTCCAAGGGAGGCTGCAGCTTGCTGGGTGGGAGAGCTCTGCTGGGCAAGGAGTGCAGGCAGAGCAGAAATCCCTGCGAGATACGGGGTAGGAATAAGAACTACGTGTGTTTGCTCTTCAATCTTTTAATGCACACGTTCTACCATAACTGAAAATGCTGCTCTCCCCTAGAATAGGCTTTTATATTTTTCTCAAGCTTGGTGATGTTACTTTATTGTTCCCAGAGAGGCTTTAGCAAAAAACTAAAAACAAAGGGCTGGACTTAGAGATTGTATTTTTCTGTTAATGCTGCAGCAGGATGAACCGTTTTTACAATAAAACCATCTGATTCTTGTCACTGAATTAGATGTGGCTTTGACTCGTACAAGACAATTGGCTCCCTAGGATGTCTTTTTTGTTAAACTGTGGCTTAAAACTTCCAGCTGAATTTTGTCTGATAGGTAGATGCAGTTGAGTTTCTGATAGCTTTGAATTTTATAAAACTAAACGGTGTGATGATACTGATTTCATTTTACTGGTGTTGTATTTAATGCAAATTTGAATGCCACTAGAACTTCCATGTTGGTTATTTTTAGCTCCCTCTCAGAAGTGTCCCTCGTGCTGCTGTACTGTTTTAGAAATGGAAACAATCTCCACAGTCACACGTCAGCTGCTTTCAATGAGAATATTTTAAGCTGCATTTTGTGATTGTGTAGGCTTCACTTTTAGCACACACACAGGAATGAGGTGAATCCTTCTCTAGGCAACGCGGATGCGAATTCGTGGCATTAGTCATTGGAGTTATTCCAGGTGCTCTTCTGGCCCCTTGGAGCTCCTGAGTCTTGTGAATGTTGTTTGCAGGGTTTAGGCTGAAAGTTCCACAGTTCAGACTCCATGTTTAAAAATCTATATTTAATCACATATGCACACTTTTTGCAAATTCTGATTGCACTTAGTTTGACACCAGTGACTTCAGTTAAAGATAATCTTGAATTAATTGAAGGTATGTTTTAAGAGAATACTTATTTGATAATTATGTGGCATGTTGCATTAGGTATTTAAATATTTAAAACAGGCTTTTTTAGATACAGCTTTTTTTCTAAGGTAATAACTAAATCATGAAGTGCCTTACTAGCAAAGGGTTAGTTGTGCACTTGGGCATAACTTTACACAGTTAACTTGCATTTTAATTGACTCCTAATTTTGTTCTGTTCAGGGTCTTTGTGATGAGCTTGCCCTCGTTGACGTTCTTGAAGACAAACTGAAAGGAGAAATGATGGACCTACAACATGGGAGCTTGTTCCTTCACGCTCACAAGATTGTGGCAGACAAAGGTGAACTTCAGTTCCTTTATTTAATACTGGTATTCTGTGAATTGGCTTCATGGAGCTTTAGTTGTATAATCCTAATGAACTCTAAGGATTTGGCATTGAGAAGTTAGTGTATGAATTGGGGTGAGAGTTTGGATGCACAGCATGACAATGGAGTCTTTCTCTTAAATCTCTAATGGCTGCTTGACAGTTTTGGGCTCGTTGAGTAAAATAGTTTTAATGAAGCTCTAGAACCTCCTTGATACAGAATAAATAGTATTGCTTTTCAGACAGTTGAAACAGGAGAACATTCCATGCATCTGAATCTCAAGACTCGAGTATTGTTATATCAAGACAATGTAAGAGATAGTGTTTACTTAATGTTGATGCTCATACGTTTTGGGTTTGAATGTATGTGTGATAGAGAAGCTACCTGTATAAACACAGTGCTGTTGAAATTAGTGGCATGTCTATTTAAGGCATTCTATACCCTTATGCTGTGTTGTAGACTATGCTGTGACAGCCAACTCTAAGATTGTGGTAGTAACTGCAGGAGTCCGTCAGCAAGAGGGAGAGACTCGTCTCAACCTGGTTCAGAGGAATGTGAATGTCTTCAAATTCATCATCCCTCAGGTCATGAAATACAGCCCCAACTGCACCATCCTGGTGGTTTCCAACCCAGGTAAGGTCATCTTTTCCTAGAACACTTAAATTCTTTGTCAGAGAAATAGTGCTTCATTGGTTTTCTCAAATACAAATTGTGTGTTGAAAATCAATAGCTTTGTGCAAACACTGGTCATGTAGTTGATACAAATAGAATACAAACATTCACTGCTTTCTGATGCTCTGTTCAGAACTACTCATTTTGTGTCTGTATTTTAAAAGCATGTCTCATACTTCAGTTCTTGACATACTTCGGCTTAAGTGGTAGTTTCATGTTTTTATCTCTAAACACATCAGGTATTATTATCTCTAATACATCAGGTATTTTTGTAAATCATAACTCTTTTGTGACTGGATATGATATGGCCACTTCTCAGGATGAAGAACTCGTGGTATAATCTTGGCTATGTTTTTAGGGAAAAGAGTTTGCATGCAAATCTTATTGTGGAGGCAAGGCCATCTCTACTACGTAGTTCAGTTAGATTACAAAAGAGTTATAACTCGTTATATGTATTTGTGTGCTCAGTTGCAAGCATCTCATTGGGCTGGGACAGCTTGGATATTTGGATGTCTAGAGCTGACTAAACATTCTGCTATGCTATGTAGTGTGTCTCTGTAGGGGCTGACTTTGCTTGATTCAACATGTGAGTGAAACTGTTACTACAGAGCCCTGGCAATGAAGTGACACTGCTTTTAAGGATAACTTGGCAGAGTCAAAACAGTGTTTGTTAAGCTAGCAACTCAGCTGGGGGTTGAGTAGTTAACTGGTGTACAGTTAGTACTACTGAATAGTGAGCAAGTGGCTGCTGTGCAAATATAATAACTTAGAGCAATTTTAAGCAATTACCTAAAAATTGAACTGACTCAAAGAACAAATTGTTCTAGCAAGAATGAAGTCAAACTATAAACTTCTGTCCAACAGAGGAGCTGTAGGAGGAGAACTAGGCATTGTTTTCATAATTATTTTTATAATTACTTGTTTTTCTCAAAATACATGGTGTTTTCTCCACTCATCTTATAGTGGAAGCTATTGTGAGCCCATTAGTAGGGACTTCCAAGGTGATTGGTGCATCAGGAATGTTAACCATGTGTGTTGGTGTGTGACCTTGATGTCCTTCCTTGTTTAACTTCCCTGGTTCTGACTGGACTCAGATAGCACTGTCTGTAGCCTGTCGTGAGTGGAAAGCCAGCCCTACTGTAGGCAAATGATAATATTACAAAGCAGCACTCAAAGTCTCAGTACCTGAATTGACTATCCACAGCAGTTGTAGCTGTTTGGTAGGAGGGTGCTCTGAAATCTGTAGATTACTGTGATCCTGGCAGGAACTACC